GGGGGGGGGGGGGGGGGGAGGGAGGGAGGGAGGGGCGTGTGTGAGGTGAGTCTTGCTTGTTTGTTTGTGTGGGGTGTGGGCAGGTGACGGCCTGGGAGTATGACGACCGGTTTGAGTGTGTGTCGCGGAAGTCGTTCAGTGTCAGGGGCATGCCTTTCATGCACGACTGGGCTATCACTGACAAGTCAGTGCAGTCAGTCAGCAGGAAGGAACGACCAGACGAGACGGCATGAAGACTCTCTCTCTCTGTGTATGTGTGTGTATGTGTGTGTGTATGTGGGTGGGTGGGTGGGTGGGTGGCAGGTATTATGTCTGGTTCCAGTGCCCGACCAACTTCAACCCGGTTGACTTCATCCTCGGCACCAAGACGGCCTTCGAGTGCATCAACTTCGACAAGAACAAACCCGCCATCGTCCACCTGCTGCCCAGAGACGGCAACAGGACGGTCGGTAAATGGCACACACATGGATGGAGAGATGTGGCTGTGCACTCTCTCTCTGTCTCTCTCTCTCTCTCTGTGTGTGTGTGGGTGGGTGGGTGTGTGTCAGGGTGGAGAGGGTCTGATCAGCGTCCCGATCGACTCCTTCTTTAACTTTCATTTTGTCAACGCATACGACGACAGCGGTGAGTGAGTGGGACCTGCACACACACGGACACACATCCATGCCCTCGTGTCTGTGCGTGTGCGTGTGCGTGTGCGTGTGTGTGTGTTCGTCCAGCCAATGGTGGTGAGGTGGTGGTCGATGTGCTGACGCTCGACTCGTACGACAAGTACGCCATCGACGACGAGCGGCCCATCCACTCCGACATAGAAGACCTTTTCGCCAAGACGTCCAAAGTACTCCCATCCACACATACACAGGCACAGGCAGAGCGTTCAGTCACTTTCCCTCTCTCTGTTGTGTTGTGTCTGCTTGGCTGGGTCAGACACAGATGTATCGCTACCGTCTGAGCCCCCACGACGGCACCTTCACTAAGGAGCCGCTCGTCACCGATCGAAATGTGGAGTTCCCCACCGTCAACCCAAAAGTCGTCACACAGAAACACCGGTCGGTGGGCGTCTGTGTGTGCGTGCGAAAAGGGCGGGCGGGAGGGATCCACAGGACACATTGACGTGTCTGTCTGTTGGTGCGTGTGCTGTGGCTGGCGTGTAGGTATGTTTGGTTCGGCGCGCAGACCGAGGTGGGTCCGAGCGGCCCCATCCAGGCGGCCGTCAAGCTGGATGTCCACACAAAGCAGAGACAGGTAAGGTACACTCACTCACACAGACGTACGCCGTGCCTCTGTCCATCCATCGTCCGTCCATCGTGTGTCACTCACCTAGATGTGGACGCCCAAGCCTTATGAGTTTGTGGGCGAGATGGTGTTCGCCCCCAAGAAGGGCCGACCCCCCTACCCCCACCCACACACGCGCGAAGACGACGGATACCTCCTGGCCTATCTCTTCAACGGCAAAGACATGAAGTCGGAGGTCAGCACACACACACACACGCCCCTCATTGTGTGCATGGCGGCGGCATGGTGGCTGGGTGAGTGTGTTATGTGTGCAGTTGTTGATCTTTGAGGCGCGCGACGTCAGCAAGGGGCCGATAAGACGGCTGCCGCTGCGGTATGCCCTGCCGATAGGGCTGCACGGACAGTTCGCCCCCGATGCAGTCTTCGACAAAAACAGGTGGGTGTGTGGGGTACTGAACTGATCTACTGACGGATGGAACCATCGTGTGTCTCACTCACTCTTTCTGTGTGTGTGTGCTGATGTGTGTGTTGTGTTGTGTTGTATTTCACACAGCCTGGAGGCTCAGCTGGGCTGATTGATACCACAGATAAACGAGTAGGGCCGCTGTGTCTGTCTGTCTGGGTGTACCTGCCTCTCCATATCCTTATTTATGTGTATCTGTTTCTCGACTGGCCCTGTGGCCTGTCTGTCTGTCCACTTGTGTTTGTCGCACACACACAAAGTGTGTCATGTCACGTCACTTGTGTGCTGCACGTGGGTCTCCTGTGTGTGCGCTAGATAATTCGATTGGATTGGGGGTGTTGCGTACTGCACACTTAGTAGTTGTGTGTGTGTGTGTAATGGTCCGTTCAGTTTATGGCTACTTACGGTGATCCTGCACCTAAGCAGAATTCTCTCTCTCTCTCTCTGCCTCTATTGTGCTACGCAACACGTGGCCTGCAGGCAGTTTTTCCCCGTGTGTGTGTCTAATCAATCGTGAGTGGCTGGCACTTGGTGGTCTGTGTGTGTGCCACGAGGGAATGATCAAGACAGTGGTGCGTACAAAGGATGAATGGGCCCGGCTGGCTGTTGCACAACCGACTCGTCACGTCAAACAGTCGACACATGCCATGCAGCCCAGCCACCCCAAACAACTGAGCGTTTAATGAATGAATCAATGACGCACCATCCATCCATCCATCCATCAATTCAACCCTGACAGTCACAGACAGTCGATGAAAGCACACTGACAGTCACAGTCAGTGCAGAAAGCGCAGGGGCTGCTCATTGCGATCAAAAACGTCAAGCTGCTGCCAAATATAAAATGTAGGCAGCGATAGTCAAGAACAATGATACATGGAGCCCTCGAGTAACTCGGGCCCTGAACACGGACCGAGGGCAGCAGCTTTCACACGTGTGTGCGAAGACACCTCACGCACTGCACAAATAGAGGAGCATGCACACTCCGTTGCCTTGTTGGTTCCTCTCCAGAACTAACTAACTCACCGATGTTCGTCTCGGCATTGTGCGTCTCCGTCGTCTTCTTGCTCCCACTATCCTCCCCAGCAGGGACCGGTGCGGCCAACGCACTCTGGCCTGCAGACACATATGAGAACGACATGCATTCATGCCAATGACAAATCTATGTCGCGAGCTCTCCACTCACCGATGTTCGTCTCGGCATTGTGCGTCTCCGTCGTCTTCTTGCTCCCACTATCCTCCCCAGCAGGGACCGGTGCGGCCAACGCACTCTGGCCTGCAGACACATATGAGACCGACATGCATTGGTGCCAATGACAAATCTATGTCGCGAGCTCTCCTATCACCTCTTGAACGATCGTTCTTCTCACGAATGTTCTTCACCACGTTGTCCTTGCGCATGATGCCCCTCTCCGGGATCGCCCCACTCCGACCACCATAGACAGGCTGCAGCACAGTAGCCATTCTCTGGCCGTCGTCGTGGTGGGAGGAGGGGGCCGAGGGGCGGGGTTTGGGGAGAGAGGGGCGGGGGGAGGCCTTGGTGGCCACAGCATGGCGCTTCGGAGACAGACTGAGGACCAGACAATACGAGAATTGATGAATGAATGCTTCTGTGGATTCATTGCTGTGAGCTTACTCGTTGTTGGGACGGCTGGCATGCGATGGGTGCTTTGATGTGACGTTGACATTAGCTGCAGACAAGATAAGGCCAACCAGTCCGCAGTCCTCCCGCTAGCTAGGGGTCTCTCGCCTCTATATGATCCAACCGATTTTGCTGGCGGTGGCCGTCACCTCGCTGTGTTTCCTCTCCCTGGCCCCCTTGCCACCGCTTTCGGCGGCGGCAGCTTTCGCACGTGTGTGCGGCGGGCCCTCGGCAGACACCTCACGCACTGCAGATATAGAAGAGCATGCACACTCTGTTGCCTTGTTGGTTCCTCTCCAGAAAACTCACCGTTGCTCATCTCGGCACTGCTCTTGTTGAATTTTGCAGTGCCGCCGTCCCACCAGTCGTTCTCATTCCACGATTCACAGAGGCGATTCGAAACGCCCCTCATTCTGTACAAGGCAATTATAGCGGAGCAAACGTGCGGGCACTGCACTGAAAGGGCCCCTACGGTGGAATCGCGGGGCAGTATGGAATGCAGAGATGGCAAACACGAGAAACTTCTTGTGCCCCAAGGTGCGAGCTTTTTTCAAATAGCTCGCAACCTGGGAGGAGCGAGGAGATGAAGGTGCCGTCCATTCTGTGTGCTTTATCATCACTGGCTGTGGCCGCATCTGCCAGCGATGCGTCAACATCAGCTTTCCAACCCCCCCTCTCTGTCGGCAGCGGCAGCAGCAGCTTCACGGCACGTGTCAGGCGGGCAGATCCCCATCTGCAGCAGCAGCACCACCACCATCACCAGCAGCAGCGAAGAATGGACCTCGCCATGAAGAAGAAAGGCGCGAGAGTGTACATCACGATTGAATGCACTGGTGGGTGGCCGTGTGAGGACGGTGCGAACTGAGAGATGAGATGAGATGAGATCTCATATGGCGTGGCGTGGTGTGGTGTGCTGGGTGTGATGATGTGTGTATTCCAGAGGCCAAGCAGGCGGGGGTGCCCCCTTCTCGTTACACCATGGAGAAGAACAAGCGCAACACGCCCGACAGGCTGGAGCTGATGAAGTACAACAAGTTCATGAAGAAACACACGCTGCACAGAGAGATCAAGAAGTGATTGCCTCTGGTGGCCTGTGGGCACGTGCGATGCGCGTGATGACTGACTGTGACGAGAGATCAGAGAGAGATATCTGTTGGCTGCATGAATGTGCGAGAGTGTGTGTGCTTGTCGTGCTGACGTGTTGACATTTCAACACCGCTGCTGTAGCGTCAGTGAGTGTACTCGACAGACATCTGGCATTCAATCGTCAGTCGGTATCGACAAATGCCATGTTCGGCGCCCCCCATTGCGGCCCGCTGTCACTCAGCACGCAGTGCAGCTTCCCCACCACGCAACCCTCACCAAGACTGATGCCGCCGCCGCCAAGCAGCCGGTCGACGGCCACACGGAAGATTCCCTCGGTGAGGTCGGCAACCATCCCACGCACATGCGGGCCCGTCACTGTCACATCCGGCCAGGCATTCACCTCTGCACACCACACACAGATAGATAGGTGGATGACACAGACGGACATCAGCTCCCGTACATGTGTGTGTTGTGTGTGTGTGAGTACCCACCCAGTAGGTATGGCTGGTGCTGTGTGTCGACGAGGAAGTCGAATGCGAAGAGCTCGAAGCAGTTGGGGAGGGCCGTGAAGCCCAGGAACTCGCCACGGACGGCGCGAAAGGTCTCGGCGACGAGAGCCTTGATCCTGCCATTCATCCATCCATCCATTCATCCATCCATCCATCCATGTGGCGTGTGTGCGCCAGAGAGGGAAAGATATGTACCGGTCAAATACGGCTTGAGCTGCCTCTGGGCGGATCTCTTTGTGCCTCATGCAGTCGTCGAAGAAGGGCCGCATGTGCCTCGTGACGTCATACCCGAGTGGGTCTCGCTCGCCGTATGCCAAATTCGTTATGTGCCCTGACAGCCACCCCAATGCACATCCATCCATCTATTCATCCATCTCTCTCTCTCTCCGTGTGTGTGTGTGTTTGTGACTGACCGAGGAGCCCCAATTGTGTGAGGTCGTGCATTGGGTAAGGTCTGGCGGCCACGTGTGCCAGCAGCTCGTCCAGAACCCACACGTGCAGGCTGCCGACGGCCACCACATACGCGCGAAGATGGAACTTACGGCCGTGCTGGATCAGCAAAGGGTGATCCAGATACCTGTGTGTAAAAAAGGGACACACATGGTATGTCTGGATCATCAGTCAGTGCGTGTGTGTGTTTTGGCGCGCACAATACACACACTCACCGCTGCAGGACCCATTCTTGTATCTCTGGGTTCGCCTGGACGATGTCGGTCAACTCGTCATACGACGAGAGAATCGTCAGCTGACCGAACGCGAGACAACACACACATATATTGACCACACCACGCCGTGTGCGGTGCGCACCTCCTCGGCCCTGTCGAGCATGGATGGCTTCAGGATCCACCGGTTCGCCGCAAACATGCCCCCCTCGGCTGCGAATGGCCTTTCCATGGCATCACGCGCGTCGGCCAGCGACCAGTGCAGCAGTGACGGGTCATCATCCATCGAAATGATCACCGACTCAGGCACAGCACTGCACAGGAGACAAGACGAACAGAAAGATGATACGATACACACACAAGTTGTTGATATATGAAGGGACACGTGTGTGTGTGTGTGTTTGGGGGGGGGGGGGGGGGG